CGTCCCCGGGCCGCCTCCACTGAGTCCGTGTCTTGCTCCTAGACTCGGGGGACATCGCCACGCTGCCCGCCGGACGCCACGAATTTCCCTTCAGCTTCCAGCTGCCTATGTAAGCCCCGCCGTCGTCCCCCGCTGGGCATCTGCGGTCCCCTGACCCCCGAGCCCTCGGGACACCGCACTTACAAGCCTCTGCCTCCTACCCTGACCCCGCTCTTGCCATCCCAGCTCCCTGGTGACATCCTTCGAGGGCAAACACGGCAGCGTCCGCTATTCCATCAAAGCCACCCTGCACCGGCCCTGGGTCCCTGCACGTCGTGCCCAGAAGGTGTTCACTGTCATCGAACCCGTGGACATAAACACACCTGCCCTGTTGGTATGTGGCTGCCCCGTGGGGGGGCAGGGTGGGGTCCAACCTGGATGCTCCATGTGGTCTCTGAAACAGAGGAGCCAGAAGTTAGTGGTGACAGTGAAACCTACTAGGGCTGGGTGCAAATCCTGGGGGCACCCATCTGCGGTGTGGCTTTGGGTAAGTGTCTTGCCCTCACCCAGCCTCTGATGCCCCTTTGAGGTAATATGGCACAGTAGAGCTTGCAATTTTTTTTGTTGTTGTTGTTTAGTTGGTTTTGAGTTTCTTGTTTGTTTGTTTTATCAAGACAGGGTTTCTCTGTGTAGCTTTGGAGCCTATCCTGGCACTTGCTCTGGAGACCACGCTGGTCTCGAACTCACAGAGATCTGCCTGCCTCTGCCTCCTACCTGCTGGGATTAAAGGGGTGCGCCACCACCGCCTGGCTTGTTTCTTTCTTGTTTTCTCTTTTTTAACCTTTACAAAAGTGTCTGTGTGTAACTCTGACCTCACCCAACAGAGATCTGCCTCCTGGGATCAAAGGTGTAAGCCACCACACCTATTCTTTTTAATTTTTTATTCAACTTTTTGTTTCTTGAGACAGGGTCACATTTTGTAGAGATGGCTGGCCTAGGACAGGCACCAATCCCCCTGCCTCAGCTACTCTTGAGACAAGGGTCCCTCGGACATAGAAACTCCTAGTGCCCAGGCACCCAAAGTGACCTGTAGTGTTCCCACAGGAACCCCAGGCTGGAGCCCGAGAGAAGGTGGCACGATCCTGGTACTGCACCCATGGCCTCGTATCCCTCTCAGCCAAGATCGACCGCAAGGGCTACACTCCAGGTAACAGGTGGGGTCGGATGTGGCTGGAGCAGGAAGAATTGGCAAAGGGGAAACTGAGGCAAGCTGCTGCTCTGTGCTGCAGGCGAGGTCATCCCTATCTTCGCGGAGATTGACAATGGCTCCACACGAGCTGTGCAGCCCAGGGCCGCCCTGGTACAGACACAAACTTACATGGCCCGAGGTGCCTGCAAACAGAAGCGCACTGTGGTGGCCAGTATGGACGGGGAGCCCGTGGGCCCTGGTCGCCGTGTGCTGTGGCCTGGTTGTGCCCTGCACATCCCCCCAGTGGGCCCATCCATCCTGCACTGCCGGGTGCTCAGTGTGGACTACTCTCTCAAGGTACCTCAGCAAGCCCCCTGCACCTTATTGTTCAGGCCTGGGTGGAGGGCACAGGTGGGGCAGCAGTCTGCATCGCCACTGCTCCCCTCAGGTCTGTGTGGACATCCCAGGGTCTTCGAAACTGCTGCTGGAGCTGCCGCTGGTCATTGGCACAGTCCCCCTGCACCCCCTGGGCAGCCGCTCGGCCAGTGTGGGCAGCCGCACCAGCTTCCTGCAGAACTGGGACCCGTGTACAGGGATGGAACCACCAGAGGGTGAGCTCAGCCAGCTCCCAAGGATGCGGGTGGGCAGAGCCACAGCCCAGGCCCCCCACCTCCAGTCCAGGGGTCTCCATGCAAGCAGGGTCTGATCCCATCACCCCTGCACAACGGGGACTGAGGGGGCAGTTCAAGGCTAGTCTCTACTACTTAATAATTCAGAAGACAGCCAGGGCTGTAGGAGACCCAGCCTCCTTTAATGCCAGGCAGCCAATGGATGCACAGAGCAGGTGGACCTGTCAGTGTGCGCTCGAGGGCAGCCTGCTCTGCATTGAGATCCTGTTTCAAAAGACAAAAGTAACAATAGCCAAAACCAAAAGGAGTTCAAGATCCCAGCTGAGGCAGGAGGATTGCTACAAGTAAGAGGGCAGCCTGGGCAACAGTGAAACTGTCCCAAGGGAGAAAAGGGTCCTCTGTCATAATCACATCACAGTCATGGTTCCCCAGAAGCCCAGCACCAGAGACTCACACACCATCTCGTCCGTCCCTTCCAGCCCCTCCTGAGTACTCAGAGGTGGTGAGGGAGAGCCAGCTGCCAGCTGCCTCACAGGGGCCCTTCCCCCTCCTGCACGATGTGGGTGTGACCCTGGCCGGGCCCTACTTTGCCTGTCTCCAGGAGTTCCGCTACCGACCGCCTCCACTGTACTCTGAGGTACTGGCTGTGCCCTCTCTACTTTTCAAGGGTGCTTGGTGGGCCATGAATCTGTCAGTGAGCAGGGTGTGGTGACAGGGGCTGGTCCCAGCCCTGATCCAGGCCAGCCTGGGCTACATAGCAGGACCTGGTCTCAAATAGAAAATGAGCTACGCATATGTTCAGGGCACCCTCCTGGTGACCCCTGGCTGCCTGTTCCCTGAGCTGACATAGGAGTTGGGGTTGGCAGAGTGGACAGTGTGATTCACTGGGACTCTGTTTGACAGGAGGATCCTCACCCACCCTCAGAAGCTGGGAGGCCACGCTGCATGACCTGTTGATGTGTGGGAATCGACACCTCGGTACCAGGTGCACGTTTCTCTGGCCACTGCAGTCCAGCTGTCTGCTTTAGGAACACAGTCTTGAAGGAAGCCAAGTGTCTTTCAACTGCACAGGACTGAGGAGCAGGACATGATTTCTGTGGACTGGTGTCTTCCCGCGGCTTCCAGTTCTCTGCATTTGACCAGTGCTGGACTCCCCTAGAGGGTTGTAGTCTGGGAGACATGAATCCAGGGTAAACCAGAGTCAGAGGGGAGGCAGCAAGCTTCCAGAGGGAATTTCAGCTGAGGCCTTGGCGTTTGCACAGGAGTTCAGCAAGCAGGACAAGCACAGAGGAAAAGGTCAGAGCTCATAGCGCCCACCACCTCCATCCTAGGATTGGGAGCCCATATGTGCAGGCGTCTTAAATATGGCCACACTGTGAGGTGAGCAGGACTGAGAGCCCAGGGACAGACATGTAAGGGGAAAGTCATGAGGCTCTAAGGGACCTGAGGGTCCAAGGGTCCCTGCTTTGGAGGACTGGTGGCTCAGGTCTGTGCGTGTGATATGGCCTGCTCAGGGTCAGGATCCAGACAAGGACACAGTAGCCTGGAGGACACCAAAGGAGGACAGGTGGCTGGGGTATCTGGGTCAGTCCCCCCACCACAGCCTTGCCGGGGACTTGCCATTGCCACATCTGAAGACTCCATCACCTTTGTACATTAAAAATGAATAAATAGCTGGGTGTTGGGCGCACGCCTTTATTCCCAGCACTCGGGAGGCAGAGGCACAGATCTCTATGAGTTCAAGACCAGCCTGGTCTACAGAGCGAGTTCCAGGATAGGCTTCAAAGCTGCACAGAGAAACCCTGTCTCAAAAAACAAACAAATAAATAAATAAATAAATACGGGAGAGACTGAGCTGTCTCCTCATTTATCTGTGGCTCCTGGAAGCCAGTGCAGCTCTGACCCTGTTCAAGGACTGACACTGTGACCTGTTGCCTCCTCACACACCCTTCCAACTCTGGTTGCCAGTTCTATTTGGTTTTTGAGATGTGTTTGTTGTTTTACATGTTTCAGTGCTCACGGAGGCAGAAAAGGAGCCTTGGGCCCTGGTGCCAGAGCTACAGTTGATCCCTCTTGGGAGCTGGGGACCAAACCAGGCCCTCTGTCATCAGTTCCCTTAATCTCTGACCTCTTGCCATCTGCTGTGTTTACATTTCTAAAGTTTTCAGACTGTAATTTTCCAGCCCTGGGTGTGGTGTCTGCAGGTGAAGGCCTGTGAATACAGACGTTCAAAACAACTGAGCACTCGGAAGGCTGAGGCAGGAGGCTACCTAGTGAGACTGCAGCAATAATAACATTGATAACTGACTCCACTAATTATTATTTAACCCCATCACCGGAGAGCAGAGGCAGGTGGGTCTCTGTGAGTTCCAGGCCCATTGACGTGGGGCCCTGGGGTCACACAGAGGTTCCAGAGCCCTGGACAACTGTGGAGGCTCAGGGTGTCTAGGGCGTGGGGAGGGAGCAGTCTTCACCAGATCCCAAAGTCTGCAGCCAAGGCGGGGTCCCCATCATGTGGGGATGAGATCCTGCTCCCAGCTTCGCTCCTGAGCGTCAGTTTGTCCTGGGATGGGACACAGGGACAGTTCCTGGGCGGTTCCTCGGGCCCCAGCCAGCTGATAGGGACACCTGAGCTCAGCTACAGGACCCAATCCTTACAGAAAGATTTTCAGGGTGAGCTGAGGGAGGAGCTGGCTCCGTGGTTCCTGGACGGAGGGTGGGGCCGCGCAGCTTCAGGCCCCTCCCCCTCTGCCAGGACCACAGCTGCTTTCCCATCTCAAGGCCTCACCCTGTGGCCGCAGGACTCTGGGGTCACCTCCCTGCACCTGTTCCCTGGATTCCCTTGAATCTGACCGATCAGGGTTCAGTGTGCCCCTTTCTTTCTCCAGGCCCTGGGTGACAGGCACGCAGGGCGCAGACACTTGTTCTGCTCATTGGCAGTTGGCCCGGCCAGGCGGCCGTTCAGGAATCTACCCACAGTCGCGGCCGCCCTCGCCCGCCGTCTCCCTGTGTCTCCCAGGGCACATTCTGTCCGGAGCAGGGAGCGCTGGGGTGCCCTGCTGGGCTCCGGTTACAGGACACCCTGTCCCCACCCCCTGCCAGCGCAGCCTCCAGGGTCCCTTCCCAGCTCCTGCTCCATCTTCACGAAAGGCAGAGCAACCCCAACCCCAGGACCTTTGCACCTGCTCCGCCGCAGTTGCTCCGGCTCCTTGGCCTCCAGACCCCATTTGTTTGTATTTTTGTTTGCTTTTGAGTCAGTCTCGTGTAGCTCAGGCTGTCCTTGAACTCATGATACCCGTGCCTCCACCTGTCTTGACAGGCGGCATGGTTTACATGTTCCTGGATGCCACGCCAGCGCTCTTCCCACTGATTCCCAGCCCTGATCCCTCCTCCTTGTTTGTGATGTTGAGGAGGAAGCGGTGACTAGCCTGGGGCGGGTGGTGCCAGTCACGGCCAGTGGGGGAAGGAGAGGGACCTCAAGAGAGCAATCCCGCTGCAGGAAAACTGCCCACGGCTCCTAACAGCCAGGGTGGGCAGGAGGGAACTCCAAGCCCTGCCCACAAAGCCCCGTGGGGGTACACCCCACTTCCTGGCTCCACGGCTCAGCAGGCGCAATCAGGATGGTGGCAAAGCCCATTTTCCCCAATGACTAAGGCCGTAGGGGACAGGACGCCTGGATGGGGACAGAGTCCCTGCCACACAAAGCCAAGGTGGAGCCATGGGAGGAGCTGTGTCTGGAGGGTCCTACAAAAAGGAGAGGACATTGGAGTTGGGGTTTGGATGGATGAAGAGGAGTTTGCTGAGGGTGTTCCAGCCAAAGATGCTGGGGACAGCCATCGGTGGTGAATAGAATTGGGACTGAGGGGTGGTGGCCCTGAGAACCCCCTGGGATGATGGAGCTTCAGGCCAGGGAGAGCTGTTTCCTCACCTTTGGCACAGAGCAAATTCAGAGGTCAGCGCTGGATCTAGTCCTCCCCTGAACAAGTGGATGGGCCACTGTGGTCAGGGCTGGACCAGGTGGGAGTGGGGAATGGGAGGGGGTCCCTGCAGGGTACTGGACTGCGGGAGGAATGCCAGAGTCCCCTCCAGGCACAAGTTCTTCCCTGTATAGGCAAAATAAAAAGCGATGGGGGTAGGGACAGGGCACAGGGGCTGCTCAGAAGGCTGGCCCAGGCCTGGGCATCTCCCAGCGGCCCTGCTGGTTCCTAGTAATAGAGGGGACCAACCCTGGCGGCCCTAAACACAGGCCCCAGATCCAGGTCGGCCATATCACTTTCAGGGCTTCCATCTTTGTTTTGTTTTGTTTTTTTCTAGACAGGGTTTCCCTGTGTAGCTTTGGATCCTGTCCTAGAACTCTCTTTGTAGACCAGGCTGGCCTTGAACTCACAGAGATCCGCCTGCCTCTGCCTCAAGTGCTCGGATAAAGGTGTGTGCCACCCACCACCTGTCAGGATGCCTCATTCTTGCTGGCAAACTTCTTCTCACCCTTCAAAAGCCCATGTGTACCTCTTTCTCTACTATACTGGGCTTGGCTTCCTCTCAGCCTCTCATCAGCCCCACCTCTGTCCAGCCTGGTTGAGACCGCACAAGCTCAGGGTGTTTTGTATCTTGTGTGGATTGTTATTCCTCCATCCTTGCTAAGGCCAAGGCCTGTCAGGGGACCATAGAGAAAGGAAAATAGGACCTCATTTCTCAAATGTGCCTACCTAGCTGAGTCCTGTAGACACACTAGCCACACAGACCTCCACATAACTAGCTGTTTTATTTGTTGAGGCGGTAGGCTTGCCTGGAGCTCACAGTTAATTTTCCTGCCTCAGTCTGCAGAGAGTTGGGCTCTGGGGTCAGTGTGGGAACTGGTTGGTTTGCCTGAGAGACATTGAAAAGTGACCGAATTCACCACAGCAGGAGAAGCTGGCACTGGCCTGGCAGAAGCCCCATCCCACCTTGAACCTGCAGCAGCTGCCCCTGTGGGGACAATGTTTACCAAGCATCAAGTGACAGCAGCAACCGAGATGTTACAGAGACTGGGTCACAGGAGTGTGCCAGAGTCAGGCAGCGTGGCAGTGCCAGCAGACACCTGTGCTGATGGTGAAACCCAGTCTGCTGCTGGCATGGCACAGCCAGAGTGGCTGCCAGATGCCCAAGTCCAGGTGGAGAGGACATGTTCGAGGTAGCCATTGGTGCCCTGTCAGGGTCCAGCCTTTTCTGCCGTCTGGCTGTGCCATTGTGGGCCTCTCTGGGCCTCAACTTTCTCAGTGAAGTGTAAATATGAGTTGAGGAGTTGAGGCTAAGCCACACAATGCTGGTCTCCTGCTGGCTGCATCTCACATTAACGAGACTTTATTTCTGCTTTTTTTCCTGTTTGAGACAGGGTTTCACCTTGTAACTGAGACTGGCCTGGAAACTCCCAACCACCTGCCTCAGCCTTGTTGGATCAAGGTGTGAGTTTGCAGACAGTGTGCCTGGCGGAGATGGCCTGGCTGGAAGCATTACAGCCTCTGCAATCCCAGGGCATTTACATGCTTTGAGGACTTTGAGGGCTTCCCATCAGCAGCTCGGCCTGGTGACCTGAGTTCGATCCCTGGGACCCCCATGATGGAAAGAGGGAACTGAATCAATCCCACAAGCTGTCCCATGACTCGCACATGAGCAGCAAGGTATATGCAGTCCCCTACCCACTCCTGCATAAAATAAATAAATAATAAAATAATTTTAGAAACATTCAGAACTTGACTGTCAAAGGGGCGACAGGGCTCCCGTCAGCCAGCACATGTAAAGGTCCGGGGTTGTAGACGCCAGGATGGCCTAGGGGAGTGTGTTCCAGCCTCGGTGGTACTTGGGGGCAGAGACCCAGGTTCCATCCACTGAGCCCAAAATGAATAAGTAAAGAAGGAGAAGCTCATGGTTAGGAAACTCAAGCTGGAGGTCACAGTCAGAAGGCTCTTCTCCTTCCCCATAGCAACCGGGACCTGCTGACGGGGCATGCGCAGAGCTCCCAGCAACTGGACACTGCCGGACACAGACTGAGGGTGTGAGGCAGGTGAGCCTCTGTTTCCGTATCCATGCTGTGGGTGCAATAAAATCTCTGGTTTATGTCCGAGTGGGTAATGAAGTTGGGGACCAGCAGCACACTTGCTCTCTCTTTTGTTTGTTTAGGTTTTGTTACTTTTTTGTTTATTTTGAGACAGGGTCTCATGTAGCCCAGACTGGCCTCAAACTCAAGGAGATTGGCCTGCCTCTGGCTCCAGGGTGCTAGGATTAAGTAATAATTTATTAACGAGATTAAATAATGATAATTATTATCATTACCATTGCAACAGAATCTCGGTATGTAACCCAGGTTGGATTCTAACTCATGGCAATCCTCCTGCCTCAGCCTGCCAAGTGCTCAGACCTAAGCATAGTTGCCATGCTTCAGGCTGTGACAAATAAGCCTGGAGATGGACTGAGCATATTTTCCTGCCATCCTAGTCTATTTTAACCTGATTGACTGATCCGAGGCACCAGTGCTCGTGTCTATGGTATCTCTGCTGAGAGACTGTGTCTCTGAGATTATCAGGGCAGCATGGACGGCCATGTCCCAGCACAGCCACCCATGGTCAGCTCCCAGGGATTGCCAATATTCTAGAATAGTCTTGGAGCAGAGCAAACTCCAGGCCAGAGAGATCCAGTCTGTTTCTTCTGAGCAAGTCCAGCATCCTTCACTGGCCTCCTGCAG